CCGTCCCCAGCCCTTCACTAAAATGTAATTTCCATGAGAACCTCAACTTTGTTTTTCACCTTACAGTCTGTGGAGTCAGCTGTGGAGGTGCAGGGCCCCCACCTCCCGGCACCTCAGAACCGACCCTCAGCCCGCTTGGAAACCTAGAAATCCACTTTCCAGGCCCCTCCCCTCTATCAGCCACTGGAGACAGACTGAGAACAGGAAAGACACACGGACGCACAGAGAGGAGGACTCTGCTCTCTTTACTGGGCCCACTTGGGTGATGGCCAGGCCCAGCGGAGAAGACACCCCGTTAGGCGTGGAGACTCATGGGACAAGGGGGCCGACGTGGAGGGCCTAACCCCCGCTGGTTTTAGAGTCGGAGGAGTGGAATTTAGGATTCTGAGAGAACTTTCTAGAATTCTAGGAATAGCCTACAGGAGGCAGGGAGTGGAATTTGACGTCCGGGCAACACCTCTGGGGCGGAGTCAGAGTTCTGAGAGTGAAACAAAGCTGCCGTGGGTCTGGCATTTCACCAGCTGGGTTCTCGTTCCACGACCTGACTAGGCGGTACAGCTGGGGCCCTGGCCTCCGGGCTGGGCTCAGACTCTCTCGCTTTGGGGTCTGACCCACCGGGAGCCTGCCTAGTCAAAGCCTCCTGTGGCCAAGCCAGAATCTCCAGAACTGAACCTGGAGACCCTGGGGGCAGCTTGAGGGGCTCAGAGGGTGGGGCCAGGCCTCCAAGAGGCTGGGTCAGAGCTTCAGGGGGCAGAGCCATGGTATCAGGAGATGGAGCCATGGATTCAGGGGGTGGAGTCATGGCTTCTAGAGGTGGCGTCATGACTACAAAAGGCATGGACAGGGGTTCAGGGGGTGGGGTCATGCCTTCAAGAGGTGGGGCCATGGCTTCTGGGGGCATGGCCATGATTTCAGGAGGTGGAGTCATGACTTCAGAGGACGTGACCATGGCTTCAGGAGGTGGAGTCATGACTTCAGGGGGCGTGGCCATGACTTCAACGGGAAGGGTCATGCCTTCAGGGGGCTGTGTCATGACTTCAAGAGGTGGAGCCATGGCTTTAGGAGGTGGAGTCATGACTTCAGGGAGCGTGGCCATGGGTTCAGGGGGTGGGGTCATGCCTTCAAGAGGTGGAGCCATGGCTTCTGGGGGCGTGACCATAGCTTCAGGAGGCGTGGCCATGGGTTCAGGGGGTGGGGTCATGCCTTCAAGAGGTGGAGTCATGGCTTCTGGGGGTGTGACCATGGCTTCAGGAGGTGGAGTCATGACTTCAGGGGGCGTGACCATGGGCTCAGGAGGCGTGACCGTGTGTTCAGGGGGTGGGGTTATGCCTTCAAGAGGTGGGGCCGTAGATTCTGGGGGTGGGGTCATGGCTTCTAGAGGAGGGGAAAGGGCCCCTTGTGATGGAGTCTCGCATCCCACAGCTCCCTCAGTACCACCCTGAGAGGAGTCCTGGGACTTGTAGAAGCGCGCGAAGGTCTCCGAGGACATGGCCTCAGGCTGCGGGCTGAACCCAGCCCTCTGAGCCAGCTCCCCGACCCGGGCAGAGAAGGCCTGCAGCTGCTCCTGTCGCAGGTCTACCAGGTACCTGAGGCCGGGAAGAGGCGAGTCAGGGGCCTGGCTTCTGGACCTGGGCCCTGCCCTTCCCGCCCCTTGGCCTGTGGCTCACCGAGCTAATTCCACAGTCAGGCGCCCTCCGGGGGCCACACAGGCCCCGAGCTCAGGGCCGAGAAGGTGGACCATTCTGCAGAGAGAGGTAGCAGAGATTCAGGCTGCAGGTCCTGAGGGAGGAGGGAGTGGAGACCCGGACTCCTGGGTCTGAGGAAGGAGAGCCTAGGGTCCCAAGTCCACGAGGGCGCTGGGCCTCTTACCCACAGGCCACATAGAGCAGCTGGAAGCGGCCCTGGTAGCAGCTCTTGTGGTGGAGGGTGTGGGCAGAGCTCAGGGACAGGAAGTGGACCGTGAAGGAATCCTGGGCGGGGCCCGCTGCAGAAGAGCAGAGAAAGGTCACCCCTGCTGCTGGGGTCACAGAACGGACGGACGGCACAGCCTGCGGGTATCGTCCACGAAGCCCATTCTCATGTTTTAAGGGGATTCCTGGCAAATTCGGGGCCGTTGAGCCCGGCAGGCAGAGACCCACTTTAAAGGCCAGACAACAGACTCCAGCCAAGGGCAGGCACTGGGTGGCCCCGCAGTGCACCCTCCAGAGAGTGGGATAGACGCTTGGCAGCGCCTCCAGGGGGTGGCTGCCGGGGTGTGTGTGGTGACATCGGGACTCCAAGGGGAGCTGGGACCCAGCGCCCCGCGAGAAAGTTCCCAACCAGCTTAAGCCTTCCACAGACAAGTCACGGTCCTGAGTGGACTTGAGGATTCGAGGAAAGAAAGGTGTGAGGATGTAGGAAACGGAGGGATTCCAAGCCACATCAGTTGGAGCTTGGATGGGAATACCTGGAGCCTACAGCCTGCTGGTTCCCTTCTCTTGAGGTGTCCGCTGGCCTTCACCATCCCGACCCCTGGCCTCCCATCTCAGGGGGCAGGGCTGAGTCCCTCGCTTACCTGGCGGCAGGTTTCCACCCTCCGCCTCCTGCACCTGCTCTGGGTCCCGATGCGTGGCTCTTGCGCGCCGCCAAGCGGCCACTTCCTGAAACAGCTCTGTCACGTTGTGCTGGGTGATTTCCCCGGCGGTCTGAAGGGGTCAGGAGATGCATTTGCCTTGTGGTTTTGGGGAAGAGTATTGAAAACGCCACGGACTGTCAGGAGAAGGAACAAATCTGCCTTGGAAGAGGGGTGGCCGGAATGCTCCTTGGAAGCAAGAAGGGCCAGATTTCGTCTCACCTACTTTGGTCATGTTGTCAGAAGGGACCAGTCCTTCAAATACTCTCCTTGGAGAGAACAATCATGGGAGAAAGGGCTGTGTCTGCACAGGGAGACAGCTCAGGGGGCAGGGGTGCATGGAGGGAAGGACACAGGGAAGAGGTAAGTATTCGGGGAAGTGGGAGGGGAGCTGTTGCATTGTGGTGAATTGTGGTCCATGTCATGAGACAAAGTGTATGTGAACTGCTCTATGGAAAGTGAATTTGGTCTGTACATTTCCACCCAAATTACATTTAAAAAAAAAATAAAAAGGGACCAGTCCGTGGGGAAGGATGGCATGTTTGGTAAAGTGGAGGATCAGGAGATGGACTGATGCCTGATGAGATCAAGCACAGCACGGCCTGTGAGGCTGGCGCGGACTGGGCAGGGTTCGCTCTGTGGAACGAACACTGGACACTTTCCTGGCACCAACTCCTCAGGCACCTAACAACCGGGGGAAGGGATGTGGCCTTGAGTGACAGGGCGGGGCTTCGATTACGGAGGAGGGAGCCCGAGAACCAGAGACTAAGAACTCTGGGTGAGCTTGGATCCCCGGACCGGACTTAAAATGCAGAACAGGCCCTAGACCGGAAGGACATCGAGTCAGGGGCGGGGTCCAGCATACGGGGGTGGAGCCCTGGGTGTTGGGAGAGGGGCCTGGCCTAAGAAGGTGGAGCCTGGGAGCATGGGGAATAGGGGCGGGGCTATCTTGGGGGCGGGGCTTGTACAACTTGGACGGAAGTGCCTCATCAAGGTGAAGGGCGGAACCTGCAACACAGAGGCCGGGCCCAGCGGTTTGGGGGCGGGGCTTCAAGAACCCACCCACTGTCGAGGCCCCCTCCCCCCACCGCACACCTTGACGGGCCGCCCGTTGCTGGTCCTCAAGAGGCTGTGGTCGTCCGCTTCGATGCCGAAGGCCACGAAGGGCCCCGTGGCGATGTCCCCCCAGTACCCGCGCGCCGCCACGCGCTCGCCACGCTGGGAAAGCAGACAAAGGCG